TGAAACTTCCCTAAGCACAATAAGTGAAGAGAACATTAAGAGTTTGAGGTACCTTTATCTAAAGCTGCAAATATTGCTCAAAACGCTTAAACTATGAATTGAAAAAGCATCAACAGGGCAATAAGATTTGAATCTTAGGAGGATGTCTCGTTCTCCACTTACCTTTTCTTCTAAGATTTTTTCTTTAAATTTTATTTAAAACAGCAAGTGAAGTTCTGCATTTATGTTAACCTGACCAGATTCTATTTTATTCCTATTTTGCTCTTAAAATTGGAAGAGCTGTGCCTCTGTTGAGCCAAAATAGATGAGACACGTTATCTTCAATGTCCTTGTCATCATGCAAATTTGATATTTCTCAATTTTCATATTTTAAGGATCTACCGACTCAATAATTTTTTTTGGTTAAAAAACTAAACACTTGGAATGAGAAGTAAATTCTAACAGCTAGACCCTTAAAACCTGATCTCTTTGGTAAGAGATGTCATATAAGGTAGCAAAATGAAGGGTCTAATCAATAATCACAGACAAAAACAACCTGAGAAGAATAATATCTCTCCACACAATATGTATCTCATAGTTATGATAGAAATAACCATAAGTAATTACAAGTTCCAATCTCAAAGATACAAGCATACCCCTTGGCGTATACAATCTTACAAGCTGCTCTATAATAACTCCTTATTTACCCACTGAGGGTTGTAGGAAGATACATGTGTATTCCACAAGCCAGATGATCATCATTCTAAGTTAATGTGTGCCTCTCCAAATCATAAAAAAAAGTTTTGCAGGTTACATCTTCAACTATTCCTCAAGATGCAGACAAATAATACACAGATGGGGAAATCATCGTCCAGAATGATGCTAGGGAAAGATTGGCATTCATCGATGCAATGTAATTGGAAAAGCGGGGGAATAAAACCTGGTCTGCTACATGACTTGCAGCTTCTTAATATGTTCTGCAATCTTCTTGAGGTTTACTGCAATGTAATTAGAAAAGTAGGGGAATAAAACTCAGCCGGTATGACAAGGCTGTAAATATATAAATATCCATTGATTATTTACCAATATAATTAATGGTCTCCCTTTCGAAATTTAGGCCCTTATTTTTAAATATCATCAAGCGTCATTAATATTTATCATCATATTAAAGGATACATATATCTTGCTCTTTTTTAATATTGGACTATATTTATTTATATATGTAATTCATATTGGCACCAAATCTCTTACATTCCATATGCACCGTTCAATTATTAATCATAAACGAAAAACAAAGGCAAGAGTCTCAAAATCAAAAGTCTACCATTTTTTATTTTTCAGCATAGAAGATCGATCGCACCAGTCGTCTCACCCTCAGCTTCAGAAGTTGCGGTCTTCATCATCAAGCTTTCTCTCTGAAGCATTCATATAAAACACCTTGTTTGTTGTGAAAGCGAGAGAAGGTAATTCATAGGAGAGCCAATGTGGCCGTTGATTTCTCACCTTACAACAACAGAGCTCTCCAATGGACCGTGGATAATATAGTCCGAGATGGGTTTCATCTCATTCTTACAAATATGTCATAGAACTTGCAAAGCTAAGATACATCGTATCATTTTTTAAAAAAAAAAATCTTACGAATACCACTTCCCCACCCTCTCAAACACTTCTGACTAACATTTAGAACATTCTTGACATTCCCCTAAAGAACCTAGAAACCATGCCGAGCGTGAATTGAGAAGATACAATAAATAATGCCAAGCATAAATAACTAATGTGGAAGATACATCCCGTTCTCATCATAACCAGAGAATAAAATAACTAATTCGAAGCCATCGAATGATTTGAGAGATGTCCATCTCATGAGAAACACAAGAAACCAGAGGATATGGCTCATACTTTGAACTTTGAAGTCCCTTTCTCTACAATTTGGGTCTCCACTGACCGTCTCTATCTATACTTCATATCTTTCTTTTTTTTTAAAAAAAAAAAAGGTTTCGTGCTCAAAAATTATAGATCAAATTTTTAAAAGTTTAGAAATAGGGTGAATTCATATGAATATATAAAAAGTTTATTATTGATATATAATAAATTTATTATTAAAAATTTAAAAATTTATAAGTAGTATATTATTGATATACAACAATATATTATTAAAAAATATAATAAACTGATCTTAATATAAAATATAATAAATATTAGATTGTTTGCTTGATTTAGTTCATAACATAGACTATATTGCAAAAGCCTAAAATTATATTGACACGTTATTCTAATTTCAAAGTACTACTAATTATTTTGAAATAAAATCAATTTTTATAGTAACTGTTTCGAAATGTAAAACTAAAAAACAACAATAAGTAGAACCTTTCGCTTTTCTTTGATTAAAAAAAGGGGAGAATTATTCCAAAAGAGTCCCAATGAAAGATTGTATATATCTTTAAGTCTCTTGAAATGATCACAATATTCCGAACTCTCTAGGCCTCTCAATGTAAATATTTTTTATTTTTAATTACTAGATTGCCCATCACTCCATCCCAAACCTATCCTCTTCTCTTTCAAAGAGTAGAGTAAAAAGTTACATGAAAGAATATTTTTAAAAATGATCCATTTAAGAAGGGTAACTTGGGAAATTTTTTTTAGGCAATATCAATAATTTAATTTTGTCTTTTTAATTTTGATAAAATAATTAAAAGCGATTATAAATAAAATTAAAGGGATTACGAAATATAATAATGTTAGTTTAAGGATTACAAAATTATGATATTTATGACATATGTCCTAATTTTGATGAGTGAATCTGACTCTCCTAATTTTTTTTTTTTTGTTAAAAGAATGGTTTCTTTTAAGTTCTCAACCCTAAATGAGCAATTAATTAGGCCATATTTTGTTTTGTGTGTAAAGCATTTGGTTTTTGTGTAACTGACCAAGAAGACATCTGTACAGTGTGATGCAGTAAATTTACATCATCGGTCATATCCAACAATCTAAAAGCACCTGATTTCCCTTGGTCGACCATCTACTTTGGACCTGCTTCTAGGTTGTTGAACGTGGCAAAAAAATTAAAATACTTTCAATCAGCACGTAAACCTTATTTAAATGTTGCTAGCTTCAACTGTTGAGAATCCAAGAGCACTCGAATCACTTCGTTCCTTTCCGAATGGTTTGCGTGGTTACTCAGGAGTCACGAAAAAGTTGGAAAATAAGAATCGTCACAGAGATTGCCTTGGAAAATAAGAATGACTTTGATATGAATGCCAAAGGCCTGTTACAGGAAATAAAAGTCTTCAAGTTGAAGCTGTGCTAGATCTGAAGTTACAGAGAAGTTTAGATGTGCACTAGTCGGCAAAATTTCTGAATATCATTTGAACAAAAGTCTCACTCTGAGAATTGTGCTGCAGGAAATCAGTAAATTTTACACTACTGTTTAATCAATTACCAACTCATATATATCATATCTTTGGAGAAACTAATGCTTACACCAAGTTATTAATGTAGCACACCTATAATATAAATGCAGAATTCAGAGTTTCAGACTTATGGAGGAACCCCTGTCGGAGTGTAAGAAGACCCCTTGTTTCTTGGCATGTCAAGGGCATTATGCAACAGGCTTGTGATATTTTTTGCTTGTCGAGGAGGAATTAATGACAAAAGAGGTTTACTGAATCAACCACAAGTTTGGCACCCACCAAAGCAGGGTTTTGTTAGAACAGACACAAATAGCTCGGTCATGGCAAATAGGGAAGCAACTTGTGGTGGTAAAATTGAAGGCACCCAAGATGACTGGGTGACAAGATTTTCCTGTAAATTGAGAATTGTCCCACCAATGATTGCAGAGCTACTTGGGATTGGAATTTTGCCGGTTTCATAGTTTTCAGTGTGGAGCTTTTCACCAACTGTGGCACCGTGATAAACCTGATTACTAGGGTTTAGACCTCCACATATCCTTACCAAAAGATCATTGATGACACAAGAAACTTACTTTATAGAAACTGGAATGCCTCGCTCAACTATATGTACAGAGAACCTAATGATGTGGATGCTTGTCTAGCTAGGAAATGTCATGCTTTAGAAAATGATTTGTACATCTTTGATAAAAAATCACCTTTCCTACAAGGTTGTAGTTGACCATTTGCTGATTTTGTTTTCACTTGCAGTGCTACTGTTTGTGTTGTTATCCAATTTACATTCAACAAATAATAACAACAGCGAATCACGATTTTATTTGATTTCTAAAGCTGGCATCAAAATTCTTGGCTGCAACAACCATCAAGGGAAAAAGAAAGCGTTTTCCCATTCACTTGTTCTTAATTTTTCCTGAGCTTATGAAATAAAATGTACCCTCCAGTTTCATTCATAAAACATTTTTTTAAAAGTCTATTTAATTACATTTATAAATTATAATACAGCTTTTTAAGTAATATTTAAAAAACAGTTTTCAAATTATCATTTATAAAAAAAACATGACATTTTTTAAATTTATTATATAAGGATGCATTTAAAATTTTATACAAATTGGTAGAAATTATTTATAAAGACGACGGACGAAAGAAAAAAGGAAGCACGATACGATGACGCTTGCTATTTATTAAGGGGTCAATATTATATTATCGATTCACAAGAAGCCAGAAGGGACCGTCGGAATGAATGGAACCAAAATAACAATATTGCCCCGAATCAATGGCCTACTAGAGTCAAGTCATAAATATTAACTGGAATCAAAATTTCCTATTCTAGTTTGCACTTCAGTTCAGAATCTAATCTCACAATGTGAAGAGAAATCCTACAGATAATCAGTCATCAATTTAAGCTAACGCACAGCTCAGTAATAGATTACGCATGACTCTCAATGAACCAGGTACGAAGGATTTCTCATAAATAGGAAGAGGCCGAAAGATTGACCAATTCTATTCGCCATTAGAAAAGATTACAGCGATTGGATTACCGATAAAATAGATCCCCCGATGAGACCGAGGAGCCAACATAATTGGATACAACGCCGAGAAAAGGAAACATACTCATTCAAGAGAAAAATGACTATTCTAATTTTCATTAAGAACTGTTCAGAACAACGATTTTATAACCCTAAATTAGAGAATGATATCTAATTCAAATGATTTCATAGGTAACCCTAGATCTCAAACACAGAATCAACAAATTAAAACACGGTCCAATTACAGAACTAAGAGCTAGTAAATTTGGTGACCGCCTTGGTACCCTCAGAAACAGCGTGCTTAGCCAGTTCTCCAGGCAGCACTAGTCGCACAGCCGTCTGAATTTCCCGGGACGTAATGGTAGGCTTCTTGTTATACCTGGCCAATCGTGATGCCTCCTGAGCGAGCTTCTCGAATATATCGTTGATGAAACTATTCATGATTCCCATAGCCTTGCTAGAGATACCGATATCAGGATGGACCTGCTTCAAGACCTTGAAAATATAAATCTTGTAGGTCTCAGTGCTCTTCTTGATCTTCTTTTTCTTTTTGTCACCTCCCTCCTTTGAGATCTTCTTCTCGGCCTTGGGCTTCTTTTCCGCCGAAGTTGGTGCCTTCTCGGCCGGCTTCTTCTCAGCGGGCTTCTTCTCGGCCTTCGCAGGAGCCATGGATCAGGTTGGGGAAGAGAAGAACTCCAAAAGGGCGTCAGTGAAGAAATTTGGCTTGTTGCGTCGAGAGAAGGAATAAGCGGTAAAGCAAAATAGGCAACGTAGAGAGATTGGAGGGGGTCTACATATATAGGGATAAGAGCTGAATTCTAATTAGACAGTAAGGCTTGACACGGATCGATGGCATGTGAGTTTTGTCATCGTTGATTAGAATAGTAATTGACGGTTTAGATTTCACGCTCTCTTCAGAGGCCGATGCTTGCGATTGCAAATCCGAAAATGCGGCCCGTTTCAAAATACCCCTTCCGTTTTCAAAAGCTAACTATTTCGGCCCAATAAGATGTGGAAGTTTTACGCTTTTGTCAATGATCAGTGAGATTGCTTATCAAATTCCTCATATTCCTCTCTCTTTTCTTGACTCATTGAACAAATTGGTCTGAATGAATGGCTCCTATTCTGTCAAGTGTCAACGAGGGATACAAGAATCTTTTCACATCCTTTAATGCAGCTACTACTTATCATGATGCCAATATTTGATTTTTCTTTTAAAAATTAAATCTTCCTTACAAGACTTTACTCTTTATGTGAAAATTTATTCACGAAGCTATTTCTACTAATGACATACTTCATAAGAATCGTGTACTGACATCTATTCAGTGTGTTTTTGGTTGTGATTGTGATGAGTCCTTATAGCATATTTTATGTATTTGCCCTTTCATCGATGCCTTTTGATATGGATTATGCTCAATCTATCTTCAAACTATCTATAAGTTTAATCAAGTTGACTATATTATCTCCACATTAAAAAGCATTATACAGTGATAATAAGGTTCAAGAGCTAGAAGGAATCTTTCTTCCCCTCCACTTAATTTGGTTTGCAAGAAATCAAGCTCTTCATGGAGCTTTCAATTTTTCTCCATCTCAAGTCATCCAAGAATTTCAAGGACAATTAAGCTTCATCAAGAATGCCTGCCAATGGAAGCCTGCATCGTCCTTGTTGGTGACATCCAACTCAAAGGAGAATTTGATCAATTTCATTGCCAAATCACCACAAGCTTTTAGAGATGAATGGACTATTAGATCACAAAGTTAAAAAAGAATAGTATTTCTACGTGTGCAGCTCAAGTTCTTTATAATGGTAATGAGCTGAGCAAAATCAAAAAGCTTATCACAAGAATCCTCATACCTTTGAGCTTGCATCCTTAAGAGCAATTCTTTATTGGATTTACAATTTTATGGGTAGTCCCTACCCTCACAGTATGAGTCACATTACCATTTTTGCTCACAAGGGAAGCTTCAAGCCTCCAAAGGAAAAAGTTGACTGCTTTGCTCATGATATTCTTCAACTCCTTGGTTACTTTAATTTGCTTTTGATTAAGAAGCAACAGTTGCAATGACCAATTGATCATTTTCTCTGCAATTGTTTTTTTATTTTCTCTTGAATTGTAAGACTGCTTAGTACGCTTTTTAGCCAATATATTCATCTGACTTCATTTAAAAAATCAATGATAAATGAATAAAAGTTCAAACCCCATCCCTAGCATGGATGGAAAACATAGTCAAATCTTTATAATTTTATCGCAGATTGTTTTTAGTTTTTATAATTTTTTTTAGTATTTTTAATCTTTATAATTTTAATAATATTGGGTAATGTTTGTCTTTATAATTTAGTTGAAAACACTGTAAAGAATATATGGACTAAAAGCAAAATTTAATAAAACTATAAAAATTAATGATTATATTTTTTTCTATAACAATTTAATGAGAAGATGTTTACCCTTTGCTCTCAATATTGCATGAGAGATATTTTTTATTGCCAGCATAACTTATTCTTTATATTTAAATAATAATAATAATAAGAAGTGAATGAACCTCATTTAAGAAAAGGAAAACAAAAAGAGATGATCAGATGAATGATCTCATTCTCCAGATTCTTGTCGATTGAGGGAAAAAAATCCGAAGGCAGATCATTAGATCATTTAACTTTTTATATTTATATCTTATCTTATATATAGTAAAATATAAAATAAAAAACACTCTTTGATGAACCGTAGAATTAACAGTAATTATAGGACTCACCAACATTTTTTCTGTAAAAATTTGCTCACGGTTTTTTCTCAACTATTTTGCTACCATGTGTTTTTGTTGTGGTTATTATTTTTATTTTGTTAAAAAAATTAAAGCATGCTTAAACGAGACTACTAATATTAAAAAATTATTTTTATATCATATTAATATATTTTTTATTCATGTCGTTTTTAAATTATCTTTGAGTTTTTTTCACAGGTAATAAGTTCATAAATAAAATAAAGTGTTTATATTTTTAGTATGCACAAAATTAAAAAATTTGTAAAAAAAAATTACAAGTTTTTTTTATTGATCATTAAAATATTTATATTAGAAGCAATCATATTTGAGATATGGTAGGGCAATAAATGTAAGTGCCCCTCACAATGAGGATTCAAATATTAATTTATTATTTTGTAAGGGACTAGTGCATTTCATTATATTCAAATCCCATTGGTAAAAAAATAACAAGTTATTAAAAAAAAAACAACTTGTCACACACTTGGCATGTGGATAATAAATCTTAACAATGATTTTTTTAAAAGAAAATACAATTTTTTATATTTTTGATGTTTATAATATTTTTCTGCTTTGTTTAAAAAATTAAATCATATATGAGCATGACCATAAACACTTAATAAAATTTATATAGTAAGTTCATAAATAAAATAAGATGTTTATATTTCTTACATGTGCAAAAGTAGTAAATTGTAAAATCCAACAAGTTGTTATCTAAAATATTTATAGCACAGCCTGTGGTCCTTTAAAAAAAAAACGCAGCATATGTTTGTTTTTTATGAATTTTTTTTAGTCTGTTTTATGGTATAAAAATATGTAGACACAATGGATGAGCGTTTGACCTCACTTTTAACTTTATATTTTACAAGCTCTATTGATTTATTTCATATTAGTTTCTCATAAATGGCTACACTTTATACATATATTAATAATTTTGCATTTAGTAATTGATTCCCTTTCACATAAATCTCATCTTCTTTTTTATCATTTGTGTAGTAGTAGAATAATTGAATTTGACCTTAGTAGATTGATCAAGGATTGTTATTATGTTATAAATTTATGGCGACCTGCTCATATTTTGTTTAGTTATTGTTTGGAGATTATTAACATACCAGGCTTATCAACTCTATTTCATGGAGTTGGATAATTGTAACTTTGCCTTTCACAGGCATGGTGGTTATGTTAGAATTGAATAGTAATACACAAGGTGATGATAAAGCAATGGGACTGGAGAATATATATTTAATGATAATCAACAACTTCACCAATTATGCTTTTCTGGACTCAAATCATCGTTTAATTTTACTCCTTTCGTTCCAGATGTAATTAAAGTGTTTTTTTAAATGTGCCACAAATAAATAAATTAATTGATTTATATTTATTTTTAAGTGAAATGTTAAATAAGGGTAAATATAAAAAGATGATATTAATTTGAATACGGTTAATTACTTTATTGAAAGGTAAAATTTAATTAAAATATTTTATATTTTTTAATGGAGTGGATATGACTTATTAATCAATTTTTCTTTTTTTTAAGAATAATTAAGACTTTTTAAATTATGTTTTGTTTGAATTAAAAAGAGAGAGACACAAGAATGAGATTTATTATTTTTTCAATTTCACATGACTGGCTTTCATTTCTTTTCTTTCTCTAATTACTTTAGCTTATTACATGAAGGCATCTAAATTTTTTATTTTAATGCATGTGCTCTTATTATTCTAGAGAAGATATCCCAAGACTCAAGTAGCAAATACAAAAATCTATTTTATTATTTTTCATTCAACTCTTATAATAATATTTTATGCAATTTAAGATGTGTAGAATTTGCCCCAAAAAAAACAAGTGTTGTGGCCTACTAAAAATAGATTATTCATTGAATACAATATGAGAGTCACGTTTTATTAAATCAAAACTTCTCATAAAGATACCCACTTACATAATGTCTAAAGATAAATTAAAAAGAAGAAGAATTTCTTTATAATCTTGTGCATCACATATGGCATTTTCTACTTGTTTTTACTAATAAAATATTTTGAATTTTACTTAAATTGTTTTTAATTTCTCACTGACTGAATGATTTTTAAAAAGTTCAATGTTAACTTCAATTGCTATTAAATGTCATGACATAAAAAGATGCGTCCCGTTTGTACTTTGACATTATATTTTCGTACACGAAAACATTTTTTAAAATTTGCGACCCCAAAGTTAAATCATATTTTTCCTCTGACATTCGACATTATTCGAGATTGTACACTTTTGGCCAACACTCGAGGCTGTAAATTTAATAACTCTGAAAGGATGGTATTGATATTAATAATGATCTATATATGTTGAGGTCAAAAAAAAAAAAATAACAATAATCTATAGATGCAGTCAGCAGCGCAGGGCGAAGGAGGAAAAACGGAAGGAAGAGGAAAATAAGTAAACTGCAAAAAAAAAAAAAAAAAAAATCCATCAGAACGTTAAAAAAGCAGTCGATAGAAATGAAATGAATTTAAAAGTTAGTAGTTAGTACAGTAAGTAGCGGGGAATAAAGAGTACAGTAGCAGTGACTCCGGCGGGCGAATGTGTAGTTCATCGGGACGCTGGATTCAGGGAACCGTAATCCTCTACGTCCTATTGCTTGTTTCTCTATATTGATCCTTAGTTCTTTATTGCCCATTTACAAACTCTTGCAGTATGTGTAAGCTGCAAATCTTATCAGGTTTTGTTATTTAGCTAGTTAGTTTTGCTCTGTTAGGATATAGCAACAAAGCCTCGGTAGAGTTTGCTGCTGGAAAATTGACTAATGGCCTTCATCTATATCCTCAACTAGGTATCAATTGGGAAAATACCAGATCTATCACCTAATCATGTCACTATAAGTTAATTTCAGGTTTATATGGCTCTGTTATACTTCAATTCAATTAATTCATCATGCATCATTTCGAAAGCCCGCCACAGTTTAAAAAATAATGTAGTAATTCTGACACAATTCCTGTTACATGCAGCTGAAATGAAGTTTCTGGATTGGTACTTGAGGATTGGTGTCTTGTCAGCTTTGATTGGAGCCTCTACGGAGTTCTTCATGATCAAAACCGGCCTCCGTGTGAAAAATTTCCCTTCCATTATCTTTCGCTGCTCTTGCTTTAGCTACTCATTATTGACTTTTCAAATCCTATATTATGGCCTTTTGAGTTTTCCTGCTGCTGGCTATGGATTATTTGCTGAGCCAATATCTTGAGAAAAACAAATAACTTAAATTTTTACTGCTAAATATATGACTCCAGAATTTATGTGGTTCCATCAAGGGAAAGCATCTTGTTCATCCAATGAGAAGGCTTTCTTCTTCCTCCATTCCACATACCGCTTAACCTATTGATTCTACTTTAAAGAACTGATCAGGCAGTTATATCGATGGGAGTTTTTACTTCGTACTTCAAAATATTGGAATATTGGACATACCCCACTACACTATAAGCCACAAAGAAGAGAGGAATGAAGTTAGAGAGACACGGACATGAGGAAATTTAAACAACTTGAGACAAATGTTCTTTTGCTGATAATCTCATACCAATCAATTTTTTTTATTTTAATTGCATACAAGTGTCCTCCTATTAAAGACAATCTTACTTAAGATATAGTCATAATCGAATATTAAATGTGAATACCTTTTCAAACAGGAATTCGAACCTTAATTCGTTATATTGTAAAGGATTAGTCCCTTATATTAAATCAAACCCTATTAGTAGACCAATTAATATTGAGTAGTAAGTGAATGGCAGAACACTAATTGTAAATGGATTTCAATTTACAATAGTAGTTCTTGCTCCCATCGAACCATTTCTCTCTATGTATTTGAGAGTCTGGTTTAGAGATCTCTTGGGTTGAGATATACATCATAAGAGGGAATCTAGTTGAAAATGTTAGAAAGCATTTTACTTGTTTGAATTAGGCATTCCAGAATCTGCTTCAGCTTCACGGATCTTAAATAAGAACTAGATTGATGTTTATGGGTGGTTTAATTGTGTTTTGGTTTTCTTTGAGTTCGTGGTGTGTTCAGACTTGTCCTAGGTATTTGATATGGTGATGGCTGGTCGTTAATAGTGACTGTAAGTTTTTGGGAGCGATAATATATCATGAGTTGAAAGCTGATAATGCAATGTGGAAGACATGCTAGATAAATTTTGAAATCTTGCAAAATGCTCTCAACTTTTCTATAGGATTCATTAGAAGATTATAGTGTGCAGTGTAAAATCTTTCAGACAATTACTGAGCCGCACTACCATAGTTTTCGATGGTGAGCAACTAAGCATCATATTGAAGACGGTGGAGAGACTGCTTTGTTGAACTTGTATATTTTTCTTACAGATCTTATAAAGCAGAATAGTTTCTTCCTCTTTATGCGCTGCTCCTAAATTGTATATTTTGTCAACGGATTTGTTGAACTTGAGTACTGAAATTTCTGACTTGCACTGCCGCCATCAGGTTCTGGAGTTTGGATAGGTGTCTTCCCATTTCATCAGTGGTCGATATTTTATCCATACAACAGTTGAAAAATTAAACCTTCCTCCATGGATAGCAGTTTATACTAGTTTAGTTTTACTCACTCACAGACTTCATTAGCTTCTCTCGCTCAAATTGCATGCCATAACCAATCACATCTTTCTCATTTTAACAGGACAATGTAATTGGCCTCTAAAGCACGTTGATTTAACAAGTATTCGAACTTTATTATTATTTTTTTCCATTTTTATTTGCGCCATGTAGATGACAAAGTAACTGTTTTGGAGTCAGGAAAGTCCCCAGAAGCTCAGACAGTTAGAGAAGCTCTCAATCCTTTGAGAGATCTTGATCCAAAGGAAACGAAAAAAATCTTGACTCAAGCTTGAACCGGTTTTCTAGGGAAACGGGTACATTGTGTGATTTTGTCTCTTTCCTAAACTCCTGTCCAATCCGGGAAGATATATGCATGTTTTGGTACGATATTATTATGACTGAATACCAGCAATGCAGTAACTTTGTTCTACCCCGTTAAATATGTCGAGGAACGCTGAATCCTCCTCCTCCTCCTCCTATTATTGAGTGAAGGAGCCAAAAACTGATACATCCCTTGTTTGGTGTTCCAGAGTCCCAGATAAAATAGCCAGCTACAGAGCGTTATTTCTCTGTTCTATAACCTGTGTTAGGGGAACGCACAAATTCAGCTTATCAGTTTCACTTCGTAGTTCCAGTTAACAATAATCCGCATATTTCTTGTAACGTGGAAGGAAACCTTTTTATTACCTTCCTGGGTTTTGGCTGCAGGAGATGGATATCGTAAGATGAATTTTGCGTGTTTAAGTATATGGAAGAGGTGCCTAAGATCAAAGAATTCAGCGTTAGCTCCTGTGACTAATAGTTCCACGCTTGGGTTCAAGTATTCAACTACTTTTACATGGTTTCACCTTCACTCCCTCAGCAGTACCGGACACTCGTATTATCTACAAGGTTCGGCACATGTGTCGGGGTGTCAACACTAATTTTGTGAACTTTCCAAATTTATTTCTTTAAGTAGCCATATGATGCAGTGTTACGCTTAAGTTCCCCAAGCAACAAATCGCCACGCTGGAAATTAATCATACAAATACAGAGGCATTTGAAAAATGAAACTCAAAACACAGAGCAATAGCTGCTCCCTTTCTGGAATATGGTAGCATAAGGGCATAAAAAATCCCCGCCCACGAAACTCCGGGTTCGAACAGATCAGGCATCCAGGTGCAACCGGTCAGAACAGCTAGAATTGGATTGAAAAGGGAAATCGACAAATTGCTGGTTATTGATCAACTGATCAAAAACTATTTCAGAAGAAAAATTAATGCTTTTACATGCTTCCTATATATCCAGCCTATTTTGAAGCTTCACTATAGACAGACATGCGCTTAAATCTGGGACTTGCTCTGTAATACACGAAGAAAATCAATAGACCATAATTTCTAATCTTCGCTTCACAGAAGAGGGAGATGCTGGCTACAGCCTCTGCATGCAATCATAAAGATATTCTTACCTAATACCTGTCAATTTTAGCAGGGAAACCGTAAGAGAAATCAAACACGGATGCATAAGATATTAAATTCAGTTGCAGATATGCACACCATCCAAGAAAATAGACTGAAGACAGTGAAGAACACTGGATACGAAGAATAGCAAGAGGCTACTCCACTGCAGCATCATTTAAAATGATGTTGAAGCACAGAGGACTTGTGCCACACGTCCTCATTACCTGTTCCTAAAGAATGCTCAAATTAACATATGACAGCAAGTAGCAACGTACGCAAAGGACTGAAAACCTATTGGTTGTGTAAAACAAGCTGTCAAGAGAAGCACATTCTCAACTCAGTGGTTTACCATCCAGGAAGTTGCCAAGATTCTTCCAACATTGTGACATAATCCAGCATTTGAGAGAAAGAGGAGAACAATATTGTAATTTCAAACCAGATGACCATTCCAAAACAATGCATTTTAATGTGTTTTCAGGAGGGAACATAGACACATTGCATATGCAGACAGCTGGATTAGGCAGACAGCTACACGCTTCTGTCTACATACAATGTAATCATCTGAATGAATTTAGACGATCTGAAGTGTGGGTCAAAGTTTGTTTTCATTTGAAGTCAACATTAGGCACGTAGCTCTAAGCACTCATTTTTTACTCCAAGGTAAGTTCCCACCAAGTAAACAGTAAGATGCTAAAGCAGGTCATTCATTAATGGGGGCGTTCCTGTAAAACTCTCTTTCAATGAATCCAAGTCAAAACATGAATCATACAGTGCCAAAGTAGAAGGCACACTCATGCTAAGCTTTCATCAGCATCTAACTATCTATAATTCTATCACATTTTAAATTGAAAGCATTAATGTTAAAGAATTCAGAATTCCTTGTTAATTTGTTATGTTTTATTATTCACCAGCCATTGCACCTTTTCTTATGTTTACAAAAAATAATAATCTGCACTGAAATAGCAGCAGCTAACAACTACCATTTGCAACGAAAAGTGAAGAGGAACTCAAATCTTGGTTGACTGTTGAAACTTAACATTCCATTTACTACAAAATCAGCAATAAGTGATATAACCTTCCACCAAGTAATACTTGACAAGGCCAGGAGATCCAAAAGGTATTCTTTGAGTGGATTTAAAACCCAGTAGCTTGATAAATAATTTGAGTTGTTTCATCAGCAAAAAAATTAATAACATGCCAAGATAATATTTACCTTGGTTTAGACTTTACATGATCTGTAAATGGAGCCATTGGACCTAAATAAAACAATTCACAAACAAACTCATCCTGAAAGCAACTAGCAACCAGATATAAGCACATAGGACTGCTATGTATAGCTCCAGAATCCAGATCGAGGTACTTTCTTCCACCACATGTTTGAGCTATCAAATATCATAAACACAGGAACCAACTGATTTTAACAGGGACGATAACGCTTCTTGAGACTGAGACAAGGCATCTGCCCTGATAGTTTCAGCCATCAAATAGAACCTTAAGGTGTAAAACTAGATCACCAGAATGATCAACTTTAGTCATACATACTCCACTCTATGGTAACAGAGTCTAGGCAACGAAACCTTAATCTTATAGATTTAAAAGCTAAAAAAGAAACAGATTTTCTAACAAAAGAAACAAATTGACAAGCACTATCGTACTACGTTTATATTTTGGCAATGATAAGAAAAGGGATTCAAAACAGACCTTGGAGAACCAACGTTCATGTTTCGATGCAGAATACGACCGCCGCTCGAATCTCCGCCGTCAATTAATTCCCTTAGCCCCAAATTCCCCACTTTCTCTTCCTTCTCCTCCTTGTCGTCTGCTTCCTCAACACCACTCCCTGCTCTTGCCAGCAACCTCTCGAAGTAATTCCCATATATATACTCCGGCGTGTAGCCGTTTTCTTCATCGAACAACATTATGTGGCCGTGCCACTCCCACACTCGATAATCCGAACCCTTTTCCTCGTGAAACCCGACGCAGATGTGGTGCTCGCCGATTGTAATGGCCTGGCCCGAGTTGGGCTTGAGCGAATCAGTCTTCCCAGAGAGAATCACCCGTATGATCTCCTTCTCGAGCTTGGATTCTTCCTTGGCGAGCTGGGATTTGTTCTCGTCATTCTCATCGTCATCGGATAGGTTATTGGTAGCGTCAAAAAGAAGGTCCTCAAAGGATTGAGAGAGCAAGGGATTGTTTGAAGGGCGTAGCTGAAGCCTGCCCATCAAAGATTGCAGTAGAAGGTTGTCAAAGTTGGCGGTGTTGGGGAAGGAACTCATGGTGTTTGATGCGGGTTCTGACTCGAGTATCCGAGACCAAAGATGGGGGCCAAGTTTTTTTAAGGGTTTAAGAAACAGCGGCCTCTGGACCTCACACTATCACAGTCACTGCGAGGGAATGGGGACGAGGGTTTGCCGCTTGGGGCTTTATATAATATACAGGGAAAATAGCGGCCAATGGTTACTTAACCAAATTTATACTAATCAAGAATCGGTTGATTTTAAAAATTACATTACAGTTTCTTACTGATATTAATTTATTAGATTAAAAGATCAAATTGCTCTAAAAAGGGAGAAAAAACCATCTTCACTATCGCCGGTGCCCCTTCCACCGGTGGTATTTGGTGGCCGGTCACCTAAGCTTTAATGCTAATGACATTTCTATTCAATAATAATTGATTTAGGTGGTCCCTCCCTTGACCACCAAGCCATTTAATTATATATAGCAAATGTAAAAAATAAAAGTAATAAATCAAATTTATAACTATTTTTATGTTATAACATAATAGTATGTTATTAATTTTTAAACGACCCTTATTATTTTATTAATATTACTTATTAATCGACAGGGACAATTACAAATCAAAAGGTTTAAAATTTCATGCATTTTATTTGTTAAAAGTTTAAATATATTATTATTAATCATGAATATGTTGTTGTTAAAATCTTAATATGCATTAAGTGTTACAAATATCAGTTGCCATTCACAACTTTTAGTGTTATATTCACAATATTTCTTCTTAAATCTGCAAAAATGCCATAAGAAATTGTAATTTATTAGTACCATACCAAATTGACTAAATCAGCAAAAATAAATTATCACTCTAACTCAATAAATAACAACTTTTATTAATTTAAATGACAAAAAAACCTTAAAAAATCACAATTATCTAAGGTTTTGTTGTCAGTTATATAACCTTGATAGACTATCCAATATACATGACCTATAACTTGCATCAAAATATCCTACAACCCTTTTGATAAAAATATATGAAGAGTTGAATCTTCTTCCATGCATAAAATGTTTAAGCTATTTCATATTCACAATCCAAAAAAACATTAGTCATCCTTACAAACTATACAAGATGAAAGCCGGCTAAACTCACAAAATATATACAAAAAAGATATTATATCCACATCATATCCTAGCTTGAATTAGGATTCCTACAGGTCTTACGTGTATGACCTGGTTGATGGCATGATGAACAGTGATAAGTCTTCTCGTTTTGAAATTATTACTCCCTTCTATTCATGACCTCCCAAGAGGACAATTGATCATTAATGGTAGGAGGAAGATTTGGCCCCTAATATTTAGAATGTTGTAGTCATTTGGATGTGGCATGTCTATTGTAACAACAAGAATCATGCTAGAACAATATATCTTATCTTTTATAGTGATTTTGTAACAATTTTTAACATAATTATACACATTACCATGTATTAGCTTGATAGCAAAGCAAGCGTGTGGATACAGAATCCCTAACATTTGCCATATTGTATAGATGTATTTACATAAGCCAAGATCAACATGTAAGTCTCGATATACAATATGTACAAAAACCTTACTTCTTCCATAATGTTCTATAGACATTTGTTTAGCTTTAGCTATATGGTCTCTTAGTTTTGCCTCAATCTTTGGACTAATACCATTTCTCTAAATAGAGAGACCTATTTTAGATGCATGCATCTTGTGAGCTACCATTTCTCTATACTCATGAATCAATTGTGAAACACCATGCCTTCTCTCAATGACCATTCATGAATTAAATAACTCTGCAAGATTTGTAGTTATATTGTATCATCTTTTATATAGAAACTTCAATAAAGACTACCTATCAATGTCCCCATAATTTTCAAGCCATTAAACCAATTATGGACTGAAATTTCTCATGTTTTTCATTGCTTCATTAAAGTCATGCTTAAGCCTTGCACATGCGATGCCATTAAATAATTTTAATGCATCATTCTTGCTCTGCCCACTAGTCCTTCTCTTACATTTATTAATTTTAAAAATTTTGTACTAAAATTCTTCTTAATTTGATGATAACAAAATGCATGTTACTTGCCTCCGAATATAGCTTGAACAATACCTATTATGGCATTGTGTCGATTTGAAACTATTGTTAGTTGCATTGAACCTATTATTTCTTTCACCATGTCCAATTTTTAAGTGTCTCCCCTTTCAAAATGACATAAGCAAGAGGAAACAACTTATTATTAGCATCATACACAGATGCTGATAACAAAGTTCCCTTATAATGATCACTTAGATGACTATCATCTATGTATAGTATGTGTCTTGCACCATGCATGAACTCCTCTATACAACAGCCATAAGCTATAAAGAATGACTCAAACCTGTTACTATCAGCTACCACCTACTTAGCAACTGTTTTTGGGTTTGTTTTTACTAGTTACAAATCTATAGAATTAACATATAAGATTGGTAGGGTCTATAATGGATATCTTTCAATGCCTTCCCTTTAGCTCTGTATGCTTGTCAATATGTCAGATTAACACCATATTCTGTTTGCAACTCTTTTCTGATGCTATTAGGATGCTTGTCTATATAAGACCTCACATCTTCAATTACAATAAATAATGTTAGACTTGAACTTGTCCTACAGATAACCATCAAACTGTCTTGTGTATAATGTGTTTTTATTTTTAAGCATCTTCACACGGTGCGATCTTCCAAGGGCAACCTTTAATGTCACATATCACTCTTATCTTCTTTGTACTATTGTTCTTATATTTATATGAAAACTTATGGGTAATGCTATATTTATACAATGCTTTTCTAAAAGCTGTGGCATGGGAAAAGGTCTACCCAACACCTAATAACAAATCCCTCAACTTAGAATAATTAAGCTCTAGTATTAGTGTAAATGCACTTTGTACTCCACATGGTAATGTTAGAAGTTCTCTAAAAGTTTGATAGGTTAGACATTCTTTGTAACAGCATGGCCTCCGGCCCCTTACGCTAGCGAATACGGTGTTGGCATGTGTCTCCTCACGGGCCCACTTGTGACTTTCTCCATAGTAGTACATGGGTTATTCCTTACCCCACCAAACTTAATGATATCAGGATTGGCCATAACTTCCTTAAGGTAGGAGAGGTTGGGGGTTCGATCCCTGAGAAAATTTCAAAAGACCTCTTTAATGAAATGAGGAATAACCCATGTACTACCATGAAAAAAGTTGCAAGTGGGCTGTGAGGAGACACGTGCCAGCACCACATTCGCTAGCGTAAGGGGCTCGGGCCTGTGCTGTTACATAAAAGGCCTTTTATGTAACAGTTCTCCCCCCACCCCATCGAGAGTCTTTTAAATTGAAACCTTGACCACTCACGCAACGGGCCCAGCTTTCCCTAAGGTGGTATTTGTGTTGTTCCTCACCCTATCAAAGAGGTCTTTTAGAGCCTTCTTAGACTCGAACTTCCAACCTTTACCACCTTAAGAAAGTTGAGGCTAAATCTGGTACCATTGAGTCAAGGTGACTGAATGGTACAAGGGTTGGCCATAGCTTTACTAAAGTAGGAGAGGTTGAGGGCTCAATCCCTGAAAAGGTTTCAAAAAACCTCTTTGGTGGGATAAGGAATAACTCATGTACTATTATGGGGAAAGCATTCGCCAGCGTAAGGGGCTGGGAGCCGTGCTGTTACATAAAAAGGCCCAGCCGTGCTGTTACATAAAAAGGCCTTTTTATGTAACAGCACGGCTCCCAGCCCCTTCGCTAGCGAATGCGGTGTTGGCACATGTCCTTTCATGGGCCCACATGTGACTTTTCCCATGGTAGTATATGGGTTATTCCTCACCCGTTGAAAGAGGTCTTTTGAAACCTTTCTAAAGATCAAGCCCCCAACCTCTCCTACCTTAGTGAAGTTGTGGCCAACCTGGTGCCATCAAGTCAAGGAGACACGTGCCATTATCGCATTCGCCAGCATAAGGGGCTGGGAGCTGTGTTGTTACATTCTCCACCACTTTTAAAGGCTATATGTTCAAAAATATGATCTTAAATAGTAAGAAAATGAGAGTTTGGATCTGAAAGTGACAGAAATTGATCCATCCTATATTTACAATCCATCCAACTTCATGTGTCATTTACATTAACATTAACAATTATAACTTTAGTTATTAAAATAACAATTATCCTATAACAAATGACAACTTTGTTTAGAAAAATTAACATAGTAACTTACACTGGTGCTTCCTCAATTATTGCTTCTCCACTATCATTTCCTTTACAACCTATATGTACATCACTACTTCTAACATTATACTCAAATAAAGTAGCAATTCCACCATCATCAACAAGGTTTATAAGGGTCCTTTCATCAAAGCTCACAGTGTATTTCATGTTACTCAATTTAGTGTCAATGCCAAAAAAAGATGATATCATTATTTTAAATTCTTCAAGTGTCATCCCCTCTCTTATCATTTTTACCCTCACACTCCCCCATTATATTGCATTTTACCTTTAATAGTTTTTATAAATTGTCCCCCTATGTGGAAATAACAAAATAGTTCTTTTTTAAAACTATAAGAATGAGAAGAAGCCATTCTCAGGCCACCCTAAAACAATGAAATAGTCATTTGTCAATGTGTCTATTTACTAAACATCATGATCACATATCTGTTATGTTATATCCAACAGCAACTATTCTTTTTATATTTACAACTGTGTATTAGTTATTGACAACTTTGGTTTATGCACTTACAATGCAATTAAAAATAATATATCATTTATTATTTATCCATGTGGAGTCATCACCCATGCCTATGTTATTTAGCCTTATGCATGAAAAAAAATGAAAACCTCAATCACTCATGCACATTAACTTACATCAAGTTCCATTTTCACAGATGGGAGAAGAAATTTTCAAGTAGGAGAAGAAATTTTTCCACGCACAGCAAAAGAAATTTCCCTTACCCCAATACGAGTTGATAGAGGAATAATGATTGCTTATATATCTTTGTCGTTATCCACGTATAGTAGCTAAAGAAGAAGAAGAAGAAGAGAAGATGACGACAATGAAAAAGAGAAGAAGAAGCAGAAGCAGAAACACGCACTAATTATTTGTGTTGAGGCTTGATATTTTTATTTTACTCAAGGGCAAAAGTGTCAT